TCTAATATTAATTCTAAACCATTTCTTATAAACTAAATAAATAGGAAGTCAACATACCCATCAGTAAGTCCTCAACCCAAAAAATACCGGCCGTTTTTCACCCACAACTCACAAAAAATTCATTTCATTTACAATCATTAACTACTAAATACAAACAACTCTTTCTATGAGCCAATTATTTAATTTTGAATTACACCTACAGTAAAGGAAATGTTCTACACCACAGACTCAAAAACAGCAGTCTCACAGTAATGCTTTTTAGACTTTGGCCTTTTTTAACCTTCTGCCAGCGAGACCCCTTGCATTCAAGCACTCAGGTATGGACACTAGTAGTGCCGTTTCTGATGACATACACCTCGATTAAGTCTCCCTTTCGCCTATCTGTAGTATAAACTAGACAGTTTGGGGTGCTCTAAATCAGGGTAACCAAGGTGCAGCCACCAGTCAGGTAGCCCTTAATGGACAGGATCACGGACTACCGATAGTGTAATGACCAACGGGATTAGTGGAAAGGTCTGCTACAGGTTATATAGTATGGCCATATACACACTAGTTACCACGGGGTGGTTACAAACATTTCATCAACTAAAAACTTTCCCTACAACTCTCAAATTCACTAAAAACAAACTATTGATAACACCTTCCACTTTAAAAAAAATATTACAAAATTTAACATCACCATATGAAGTGTCGACATGCTCGTCTCGAGGGTCAACAATTCTGCCACAGTCCGACACCAACCTGAAAAAATAAATTAAATCATCAATATTACAAATATTTTACTGTTAAATTACTAAACAGTATTGGTGAAAGCTAACAAAGTAATCCGTCTTCCTCAATACCGTACAATAAACAATACTCACACCTCTACTGGCTCTTATTACCAACACGTTCACTCGATGGCCCTGTGCATCATCCAACAACAACAATCACGTCTTCTGGACTGCAGCAGATCCTGTACAATATTTAAGACCATTAGTAACAAACACTTCCTTCTTAAATTATAATGCATTAACAAAACTACTATATCACATTTCATCAACTTATTTCAAACGATACAAAAAAACATTTGTGCCACAAGTAACAGACAAGAAACCCTAACAAATATTACATCAAGCCATTTTCAATACATTCTAACTATATTAAACACCAGTACAGGATGGGCGCCTCTTGTCCAAAATTACCACGTCACAAATCCATTTGTCCCCACTCCTATCCCATTCTAGGGTAATCGGGACCTCCACGTTTAAATTTAGGGCAATCGAAAATTTAGTCGCTTCTATTGTAACCTACGATTTCTTAACGTATTCTACAGTAATTACTTTGTACTACCAATTAAAATAATGTTACACGTTAGACTGACCGTTTTATCAATTCTGCTTCTTTATACCTTCTGCAAGTCCCAAATTACTATAGAAAAACAACCATGTTTCATTTATTTTTATTACTTTGCACTACTCATTTTTACAGAGATTACCAACTGGCATTAAGGATACATAGTACAATATTATACACAATGTTCTTTAATCATCCAGTTTTTATCAGCAATATTCCATTATATCTTGGTCGCCAGATTTAGGTCCTATGTTTAGCTTATTTTTGGCATTTGAAAAATTGCAATACATGTTAAAAAATCATCTAAACTTGACTCAAAATTCAAGTATTAAAATTTTGTCTTTTCTCTTGATCTGGAGGCTGTAGAAATCCTGTATTGGACTTATATAACAATGGATTATAGGCAAAGACTGCAAACAACAATCACAATTTACACCATATAAGACTATTATTACTATGCAATTTGATAATTCACGACAAGGTAACACATTTTGGGCAAAGTATGCATGTAATGAATAAGGCAAAACATGGGCTCTTACACCCCTCCAGAGTCAGGCAATGTCGAACCCACGGCAGACATTGCAGGCTACAGTACATCCAGAATATGTACGAGAAATGAATTCCATACATAAAATTGGCCACATCCCCGCCAAAGCATTTAGGACAAGAGATAACCGACCTGTACTGTATGCGTCTAGTTGACCGCCAACTTTTAAATTTTACGAGCTACAAAAAAAAATTATAATTATTTCAAAGACAATATGACGTACTGTAATAAAAAAAATAACCCTCCCAAGACAATGGGAGTAGAGTGTTCATTTTGACATCCAACTAACCCCCACCTTGCACATACTTTCAGTAGGGAGTGTACATTACTTTTAAAGAGGTGGTGCAGCAGGCCAATGTTCACAGCATTTAACCATTTTCAACATCAGCTTCTCCCCCACCAGCGGATGGCTACCATACTTCAATTTGCTCAGTGAAGACAGTCGAGTACACTGCCCCGTTAGTCGAGCCTTTCGGCAAGCGGGTTACAGCACTTTCCAACACGACCTAAAAACAAATACATTTTTCAGAACTAACATAATACACTGTACTTATTTTGCGAAAAGGTTTAACTTTTCTATTCAGGTGCGTCCAGAAGCACATACACTTTGTCGACACGTCAGCAACGAAACTAAATGAGGCACGAGGATCCAGTTCTTTTTCCACCTCCACAACCTGGAAAGAAAAATTCGTTACCCAAATATCAAACATTTACGACTTAAATTTACTTTACTGTCAATATTCTACTGAACCATTTCTAATTCTTTATTACAGTTGCACAAAAGAGCTCCTACACCGTGGTAACCTCTGTCTCCAAATAACCAAGTGACAGTAGTACTTTCACTTCTTTACCTCGGAACGTGTGGCTTCAGCTGTCACCCCTTGGGAGGCAGGCGTCGGTCAGCTTCGGGTATTGTTTGTACGAGTATTATGAAATATTTCGGTAATAAATGATTTAATTGTAAATACGAAGTTTTACTTTAAAACTTCACTTGAGAAAAACAGTAGACTTTAATTTTTTCTTTGAATATTAAGTTACAAAGCACTTTAACTTGTTATACCCTTCCAACAAGCTAAAACTACATTCATCTTGGATATTTATTTGATTTCTAGAACACGCTGACGAACGTGAGACATGGAGTTAAGCAAGCTGTAGTGTGACCTATACTCCATCGGATAAATATTGAAGAGATTCTACAAAAGTTGTCTTGCATTTTAACTGTTACTGGAGTACACCATCGGAAGAATTACGTGCCTGCCTACCGGGGTTAGTGTGAGGTGGATCCTACCCACAGTTTCAGAGTGGGATTTTTGTTCGTCTGTGTCCGGGTGGGCTATTCCCTGTAGAAAGTTATGTTGCATTTTATTCAGTTCAATGAAGTCAAATGTTCACGGATTAAGTTTATGTATCCAATAAAAATTCACTAATTGTTCTACTTATATTTTATGGAATACGAATCATTTTTCTATTTTACTGAATCAAAAGTAGGTTACAATATAACCTGGAATACGTTTATTTGGATGGTTTGTCCAAAATATTTCTTAAAATAATCCTTAATGGTATTAAACGCTTCGCCCTCTTAATACTGAGCTTATTATCTTTAAATATTATGGCCTTTTCACAAGTTACTGCCAATGAGCAATGATGAAATTATTATGGGATTTCTTACTTTTCTTATCGTTCAAAATACACCTCGTATCAAGAGTGCGAGAAACGAATAGTTTGTTCTTGGTAATGTCGGAGAACACCAAGTGGTCAAATGACCTCATTGACCTGAGAGTTAATAGGCCACTAGTGTACTGCGCAGAATCTGCCAGTATAACCGTGTAGTGGATTCCTCCCCTACAAGCACCGAACCTTCTGAATTCCCCTGCCTGCGCCGCCCACGGAACGGGGGTCAACTTTCTACCCCCGCCTTATAAGACCTGACACCGCTGTGACCACCCTCTTTTCTACCCAGTGCCACCTTCAAGCAACACCATCTTCTTCGCGCCAGCCTGGCGGCTGCCGCTCCCACCAGCAACCTTGGCGTCCCTCGAGCTGCGTGTCCGTCCTCTGGGCACCCTCGCCACCCAGCTCTCTCTACTCGACGCTTATTACCATGCTACCTACCCAGCAACAAGCTGCAGTGTACATCCAATACAATATGTATACAGTGAGCACATTGTGAGTCCTTTCTCCATCCCATCCCATCCCGAGTGTGAACCAATATCTCATACCTCCACAACCATACAGTACTAAATATTGACCAGAAGTCTTTCAAATTAACAAGACTTAATGTTCACTCGAAATTAGGGTAAAACTTTCTTATTGGTTATATAGTGAATTTTGGGACTTAAAGTCTTGGAATCCATAGTTTAAACCATTTTGTTCTATAGCATTTCCGTCCACATACATATTTTCAGTATGGGCGGGGTTTTGAAGTTGAGGAAAAATTTGCATTAAAAAGTGACTAAAAAATGAAACCTGCTAGTGTTATTATCGCATTGTGTGAATTCATTAAAGACCAGATTTGCTAAAGTGTTGCACAAATGGTTTTTGTTAAAATGATCAGAAGGTATGGCAATTTATGGGCTGATGCTTATTGCCAGAGCAAAGTCTTTTAAGAAGCAAATAAACATTGAATCAGAGCGAGCATTTAGTGATGGCTGGCTTAGGAATTTCAAGACTCGTCATGGTATTAGACAGTTTGTTTACATTTCTGTCAGGTGTTGACTTTATTTTTCTTTAAAACTGCTCGTTTTGATAAATGAAGCATGCTTTACTTGCTTATGAATAAACTCTCAAAATGTACCTGTTCATCTCTTCTTCATTCCTCCTTAAATTTGAATTTTAAAAGTACTGCCTGAGAATCCGGAAAATCCGAAAACCCGGACCGACCCAATCCCCAAGCAGTCCGGATTTTTGGACTTCTACTGTACTGTTTCTGTACAAATTGTGAAAAACAATTAATCTCTCAGATAAGAATTATTTAATTTTAATTTGTCATTTCACCATCAAACACCACCACCCACCTATGTCACAACACCACCATCACACAATCAATATGATCTGAAAGATTAATGATATACAGTAATATATAAATTATAAAGACACTTTTACACCATAAAACAAAATATAACAATAATTTTTATATACTGTACTGTACAGATCTTTCGTTACATTAACCATTACACATCAGAAAACATAAGAACGGTAAACCCTCGAAGACCTGGACCAAGATCCAGACAACAAATTTGAGGGTTCTGGGCTAAGAAGCCTCCTCCAAGTTTCCCTAAGAAACATTCCCAAACCGGTGCAAAGAGCATTTTACACCTGTGGGCAACACTTGACCACAGTCAGTTGCTTGGACACAGGTGTCCGAGGAGTTGTGAAACATTTACAGAGTTGACAATTGTTGTTTGTGGGAATTTTATTTCATTCACTCTAATAATGGTACAATGTTTCTCATTATGTTATCATAGGTAAATGCAAAGTTTATATACGGTAATTTCCTTTACCTGTATTGTAAATGTGTGTGTGTAGACACAGACACACAAAACACATACAAATAAATAATAATTGGAAAATCCTCTCACAAATAATCAGAAACAAATTTATTAAAAATGTGTCTACCCTCAAATTCGTGCTCTATTTATAAAGTAATGAACCACAGATTTGAGGGTAGACTCACATTTTTAATAAATTTGTTTCTGATTATTTGTGAGAGGATTTTCCAATTATTATTTTTTGGTGTGTGTTTACAAAACAGTTGGCCCCCCTGTACTATATTTTTGGTGTTTCTTATAGAATTTACTAATCGCCGGACAATCGGCTTTTCCAGTCGGGTGGTCCCCCCCTTTTGGTCCAGATCTTCGAGGGTTCACTGTACCATATAATTCTTTCTGTATAAAATAAACCGACCCTTAGTTGCTGTATAAGTGTTAGGTGTAGAAGAGAATACAGACAGGAAATTAACAGAGCTGGGAGAGAGAGAAAGGTTTAGGGAGAAACAAGAAAATACTGTAATGTAAAACAAATGTTAACAACGCCAGACACGTTTGACCGTTGAGTTCCTTCCTGATATTGTACAAGTCAAAAGTGGTTTTATTAGGTTGGTCCAAGTCCTCCGTCGACCTCACTTTCTGCGCCTGTCTGGACCGACAACCGTGGGGCGTCCGCGGGAGTCTGTTTCTATGGTGGTGATCAAGAATGAGGAGACAGTGGTCGTGGCCTCAGGTGAGGACGCAGTGGCCTCAGGTGAGAACACAGTGGTAGTGGCCTCAGGTGAAAACACAGTGGTAGTGGCCTCAGGTGAGAACACACTGGTAGTGGCCTCAGGTGAGAACACAGTGATAGTGGCCTCAGGTGAGAACACAGTGGTAGTGGCCTCAGGTGAGAACACAGTGGTAGTGGCCTCAGGTGAGAACACAGTGGTAGTGGCCTCAGGTGAGAACACAGTGGAAGTGGCCTCAGGTGAGAGCAGAGGGGTAGTCGCCTCAGGTGAGGACACAGTGATAGTGGCCTCAGGTGAGGACTCGATGGCAGTGGCCTTGGTAAGGGTCGAGCGGGGGAAATGTTCAACTCTGATCAAGGGGGAGGACACGCTGGGAGTGGTCGAGGGGGAGGACACGCTGGGAGTGGTCGAGGAGAAGGACACGCTGGTAATGGTCGATGACACGCTGGTAACGGTCGAGCACGTGGAGATCTTTTCGCCAGGTTTTGTTTGCGCCTCAATTGACTTCTCCAGCTGCTGCATCAAGGCCAACCCGTACGTGTTGCCTATGTGCCGCGCCGTCTCAACGTCTTCTCCCTCGACAAGTGATGACCATAACACTGAAATAATCGAAGTTACAGTTGAACACAAAGTACCACAGAGTCGTGTATGAATTAAATGTATTTATAGTCGCCTGTACGAGTGACTGTTTTTCATCTCTACCATTACAAAATAATTCACCTCATCCAAAACTAAGCCATTTCTTTAATTCACATTCAAAGATTATTGCTTCCTTATTTCTCTTCTCATATATTGAAGAGATAAAGATTATAATACTTCTCCACATCTTTCAGACTTACAGTACCTACCAACCTAAAGTCTTTAATCCTTTTGCTCGTCATTAAAGACTTTCCCCCGAGGTTCTCGAGTACGGTAATCAGTCTTTATTTTGTTACCTTTCAAATGGATATAAATTTTATATACTATCGCACATCTTTTAACGGTGCCTCGACCATAGGAGTTTCATTGAACGGCCATGAAAAAGTTATTAATCTAATAAATACTGTAATTGTATAATAGTAGTTGTAGTTTCATTCAAACATTAAAGACCTTCCACGATACAGCGGACACGAATATTACCCGGCTACTGTATACATTTTGAGACCGTTGAGGATGTTAACAACAAAGATGGCGGCAGACATTATTACATCTATTGGCTCGAGTCTCGAGTTCATTGGTTAGTAAGAAAATGAACTCGTTAAGTCGAGTTTACTCACTTTTTTGGGCCTCCAGAATCTAACCCTAATTTCCCCATTGATTACACATAATTATATATCGCAATTTAGTATACCCGTGCAGCGAACATCGTTGGACAGCATCTCGCGATATATCCCGACCCTACTGTACAGTGCATGGCCAGAGTATTTGTATTGATACACAAGGCCACAGTATTTACACACACAAACACACACACACACACACTAAGAGAAACCCCTGCTCGCTGGGAAGATGTCGACGACTCCACCATTGGGATCAGCGTCAACAATTCTGCTCCCAACTATACCGCCCTTCAGGATTTATTGAACAGTCTCCAAAACTGGGCCACCAACAACCATGTCACCATCAACCATACCAAGACCATGGTTATGCACATCAACCTCTCCTCCGACATTGTCCCACCTCCTTCCATTACTCTAGGTCCGAACACTCCAGGTTGTAGATTCCACGAAGCTCCTGGCGTCACCATAGACAACAAACTAAATTGGAAACCACACGTCAGTGAAGTTATCAAATCCTCCAGTTTCCGTCTCCACCTCCTCCGCCGACTCAAGTCCCTCGGAGTTCCTGCACGAGCTCCTCAGTGTTTACACAACATTCATACTTCCCAAGCTCACCTATGCCTCCCCCACCTGGTCTTCCTCCCTAAATGCCACACAACGTAAACACCTAGAAAAAGTGCAAAAGAGGGCATGCAAGATTATTCTCTCCCCTTCCTACTCGACATATCAAGAAGCGCTCAACACACTGACCCTTTCGACTCTCACTAACCATCACCACGACCTCATCTGCAAATTTGGTAAGAAGCTTCTACACCATCCCCGAGAAGAAAAACAGACACCCATTTTAGAATTTCTATGTATTATTTTCGCCTCTTCAACTTACGACCTGGTCGTCGGTCCGGAACCACGTCATAAGTCGAGGAGAGACTGTATTATATCAGTAAACACTAATAATAACAGTAAATCCAGTGAAATATGGCAGGGAGGGAGGAGAGTTACAACTAGCGGCCACTCGCCCACACTTGTTGCCTGGCGTACAATCGAAATATATATCTTGTAGTCTAATTTGAAAACAGTGATGGGCAGAGTGACAAACAAACAACAATTGACAACTCTGTTTATGTTTCCTGCCTCGGGCACTGTGTCTCCTGCTCTAACATCTTAGTTACACAGACCTCAGATGTTCTTTGCTCTGTTTTGGGAATGCTTCTCAGGGAGGCTTCTTGGCCCCCAAACCCCCCAAATTTTGTCCGAATGTTCCAAAATATATACCGTATGCTGAATCAATGTAAACTTGTATGATAACTTTACTGAATAAAACTGAAATGAAGTGAATGGTCATTACTGTAGAAACATACCCAAAAGTTGTTGGGATCTTGTGAACTTAAGAGGGCAGATATGGCAATAATCTGTTAAGTTCCTCAAGTTGGCATCTCTATCTTGACACTGTGGCCCACTGAGACACGGCTGCCACCTGACACACTCACAAGATGACACGATAAAGAGATGCGTAGAGAAAGACAAAATAAACAAGTCTTAATCCTTTCACTATGGGATGCCACTTTTAACATTAGACAATTTATTCAGCAGAGAGACAGAGAGAGAGCGAGTCCCATACACAAGGAGTTAATATGGATCTGTTTAGGTACCTGTAGTGTATATAGACATTTAAAAGACTTAATCAAATGATCGGTTTAACTAACGTTCATATTTCCTATAGAAAGACTTAATATTTTGGCGGTGTGTCTAGAGGGCCTTCAGGAAGTTAGGTAAGGCTTGGTAAGTAAAATACACCACCACAAAAATGGGTTTTCCTGTAAAAAAAACCCACCAACCTCACTAAAACCAACAATTATTAAATGTTTTAAAGAGATGACTGACAACTGCTGTTTTGACTCACCCGACAACTCGGTCTCCCCGCTGAGAGTCTTCCCCACGAAGTCGATGAAGTTAAAAACCATCAAAGAGGTTATTCCCAACTGTTTGACGTACATCTCCAGATATTTTTTCACAAGTTTAGTGAATAAATTTCCCAGCAGAGATAAACGTTTCTCTATGATGATCGTGTGAAGCTCGCGTCTCTCTGGGAACACTTGCAGGTGAAGTTCTGTAATGATCACCGACAATTACCATTTCAATTAACACACAATACACCGTCGGTCATTTTTTTAAACATTCCGGGCATCAAGTCCGAAAAGCAATTGTGAATGTTGGGATAAGCTTTAGTAACCTGACAAATGGATTCGTCAAACTCCATTAGCAGCTTGTACATTCAGGTTACCATTCAGTAACCATAATGCCACAACTTGGGAGACTTGGTAAGCCTGGGCAAGATAAACCTAACATATTAGCTTGATCTGTGGCACTAAATTTGAATGCTAAAGCGTGAGTGGTCATTGTAAAGCTTCTTTTGTAAGAGAGATGGCAACTTGCTTGACTGAAATACCAAAGAGAACACTAAAAGACATTATAATAGAACACAAAACTATACTGAACTGGACTACATTTTCCTCTTAATGAAGAATATAAAATCATAATACTGTATTTTATTTTCAATCATTATTCATGCTTTAACTGTACCTTCAGTTCTTGTAAAGGCAATTAGATTATTAATTCAGTCTATTTTGTGGAATAATTTCATATGTACTATGATACTGTTCATTTATTGTATGATAATTACTGTCCTTTGCTGGCCCTCAAATGAACCAGAAATATTGTAAGTGACGTCCATTTACAATTACCGTATATATTTTTTCTTGTCACTCAAGGAAATAAGGTGTGCAGTGAGCAACTACTGTAAATTATTACCTAACTGTTGTAGTTTAGTACCTAACTACAAGAAAGCCCCTAATGTTGTCCTGTAACAAATGAAATCAGTTGACAAACACGTAATAACCTTCCTAACTACTGCAACTTAATACCTAATTACTGTACCTACTGTAATTTAGCAGCTATCACATTAAGAAATGAATCAAGTATAAATTTAATACATTACTTTAAGGTACTGTACCATGGGCTTTGTATAGTGAGAAAGTGGTGTTAGAATACAATATTATTACGGCAATATCTCCGTTAGCCGGAATTTCTCAAACCCGGAACTGTCCGATAGCCGGAATTTAAATTTTCTCAGAAAATCGTTCCCAGAGCTGGAATTTCCAAAAAATTCTGCCATTGGGAACGATTTTCTGAGGGGCACATTTTCCGGAAAATTCCAAGAAAATTTTCCCGATACCCGGAAATTTCTGGGACGAGAGATTTTTTTCCGGCTTTGAGAGAGTCGTCTCGTTACCCGGAAATATCTCATTCCCGGAAGTGTTCGGCACCAATTGTTCCGGCTAACGGAGATATCACTCGTGAATAATGGCAGAACGAACGGTCGTGTAGGGAGAGGTACCTGTACTGTGTGTACAATATTAAGAATCAAAACAAAATTGGTAGTACAGTAAAATACAATACTGTACTGTAGAATTAATATACCTGCCCCTTGCTTTATGAACTTATCAGGAATATTGCCACATATATTACAGTAAGTTATTTTAGTTGGCAAAATAAACAAAATTATTCTGAATTAAGAAAAGTTTTTGCATTACTGTACAATATAATGATTTATTTATTGTTCAGTATTTTACTATATGATCAGCTGTCAATTTTATTTTATCTTAGTAAGGCCGGGCTTAAAGCAACCAAGTAATTCTTATAAATTTTTTAATTCTTGGTCTTTTTAAGTTAAATTCAAGTATAATTTAGTGTTTTATCTTTATCTGCTTTGTACACAGTACTGTACTGTGCCATACCATACTGTACTGTACTGTACTATACTAGCAACATTGAGGCAAAGAGAAATGAACGAAAGATTATTAACCAGAGGAGGAGACGAAATGCCTTTGATTCAGCTGGACAGAAAAATGAGCCACCCCAGATATGAGAGCAGTTAAGGTTAGGTAGGTTTCATTGGTTGGTTAGGTCAGGTTAGTTAAAGTTAGGTAGGTTTCATTGGTTGGTTAGGTCAAGTTAGGTAGGTTTCATTGGTTGGTTAGGTCAGGTTAGGTAGGTTTCTTTGGTTGGTTAGGTCAGGTTAGTTAAAGTTAGGTAGGTTTCTTTGGTTGGTTAGTTAAAGTTAGGTAGGTTTCTTTGGTTGGTTAGGTCAAGTTAGGTAGGTTTCTTTGGTTGGTTAGGTCAGGTTAGTTAAGGTTTCTTTGGTTGGTTAGGTTAGCTGTTAGTATAGACACCACCTCTCAGCATGGTAACTTAACATATCATAATGAAGAGAAAAAATATCAATGTTACGTTACCTAAAGTACGGCATAAGACATACAATATTAGTAACACTTATTTCCACTGATCATATTTATATATTTACAGCAAAATGATACACACACATTACCCACTAATAAGGCATAAAATAAGTTACACTGTATGAGTTTAAAGTTCTCGAGTACACAGGATGGAGGAACAACTTACCATTATTATCAACGTACTCCTTGACAGCAGCCACCCAGTCTTCACCAGACACTTGTAACAGCTGCCTCACCATTCCTCTTGTTTCTTTGTGGAATAACTTCTTTTTAAATCTAAAGTTACGAATATTTTGGAGTTTCTGTTTTCTCCTTGTAATTGACGCCATTTGGATGGTGAACCAGACCCAGTGAATAAACATGGATGGCAAGAATAAAATAACTTGTCAAATATCTCCTGGTGTTTCATTTTCCCGTTAAATGGTCATTAAAATTAATAATTCATTATATTTCCTCGTCTTCCGTATGTTATTATTGTTTTAGTTGAATTAGGGTTAATATTCATCCGTATTTTTTCCCTCATGACCTTTAACCTTTAAATCTCTGTCCAGGCGGAATTTTTAAAAAACATATCAGTCTCTTTAAACGTTTGGGATTTTGCCCTTAATATTCTTCCCTATGGGTTTTTGATGCGAAATTGGCCATTATATAAAATTAAGAATGAAATATTAATTGATTCTTGAGAGAATAAGAGTTTTTGATCATTGTAACGGGCCGTTCATTTTGGCCTTACAGTGGATGCACACGGTGTAGTGGATTTCTCCCCTACAAACACTTGTACCTGAGTAGCTGACCCCGGGAGTGTGTGCCTCGTGGTCTGGGTCAACCACCGCCGCCATACATCACGGAGGTCAACTACCCCCGCTATTTAAGACCTGACCTCGTGGTGATCTCTCTCTTTCTACCTACACCAACCAGCTCTCCCTACATCACACTTGTAACCATGCTGCCTTCCCAGCACCAAGCTGCATTGTACATCCAGGAGGATAACGATGACGTGCATGACATCCTCTGGTGTGACCTGTGATGCAGCAGAAAGCTTCAGCAGCGCCTCTGTCAGTTCTGGGTAGACAGTCCATATTGCCCAAGCAATCTTTTTACCTTGACCAGAAAAACTGGACACAGTGTCGCACCCTGTCAGAGCATGGAACATACTGTAGGCAGTGCCCGCACCTTCTCTGATCCCAGACATGGTGCCATTTCGTGAGCTGCGAGAGAATGGAAACTCTTGCCAGTGCTAACCACAGTTCATCTTCTTGGTGCGTCCCTGGACCCCTGAGACAGCCAAAACCACGACATCACTATCTTACGGTGGCCACGCTGGGCTGCTGCAGAAGGACTGACAATCTCCTTGGTGTGAAGGGCCACCACATCCAGGCTTTCCTCCTCAAAAGGTTTACCAAGCTCTTCTTTCACACTGACCACCACCACAGACAACAACAACTCTAGTGCATAAATTGAAGCGATCAGACGGGTAACATACTGTTTAATTAGACTAATTAGTCTAATTACTCTATTATTTATATACGAATATAATAAAATAATTCACTTAGTAGTTTGAGTCCTTTTGCAGTGAATTAAACTCCTTCTGCAGCAGCCCAGCGTGGCCACCATAAGATAGTGATGTCGTGGTTTTGGCTGTCTCAGGGGTCCAGGGACGCACCAAGAAGATGAACTGTGGTTAGCACTGGCAAGAGTTTCCATTCTCTCGCAGCTCACGAAATGGCACCATGTCTGGGATCAGAGAAGGTGCGGGCACTGCCTACAGTATGTTCCATGCTCTGACAGGGTGCGACACTGTGTCCAGTTTTTCTGGTCAAGGTAAAAAGATTGCTTGGGCAATATGGACTGTCTACCCAGAACTGACAGAGGCGCTGCTGAAGCTTTCTGCTGCATCACAGGTCATACCAGAGGATGTCATGCACGTCATCGTTATCCTCCTGGATGTACAATGCAGCTTGGTGCTGGGAAGGCAGCATGGTTACAAGTGTGATGTAGGGAGAGCTGGTTGGTGTAGGTAGAAAGAGAGAGATCACCACGAGGTCAGGTCTTAAATAGCGGGGGTAGTTGACCTCCGTGATGTATGGCGGCGGTGGTTGACCCAGACCACGAGGCACACACTCCCGGGGTCAGCTACTCAGGTACAAGTGTTTGTAGGGGAGAAATCCACTACACCGTATGCATCTCTCAAGAATCAATTAATATTTCATTCTTAATTTTATATAATGGCCAATTTCGCATCAAAAACCCATAGGGAAGAATATTAAGGGCAAAATCCCAAACGTTTAAAGGGACTGATATGTTTTTTAAAAATTCCGCCTGGACAGAGATTTAAAGGTTAAAGGACATGAGGGAATAAATACGGATGAATATTAACCCTAATTCAACGAAAACAATAATAACATACGGAAGACGAGGAAATATAATGAATTATTAATTTTAATGACCATTTAACGGGAAAATGAAACACCAGGAGGTATTTGACAAGTTATTTTATTCTTGCCATCCATGTTTATTCACTGGGTCTGGTTCACCATCCAAATGGCGTCAATTACAAGGAGAAAACAGAAACTCCAAAATATTCGTAACTTTAGATTTAAAAAGAAGTTATTCCACAAAGAAACAAGAGGAATGGTGAGGCAGCTGTTACAAGTGTCTGGTGAAGACTGGGTGGCTGCTGTCAAGGAGTACGTTGATAATAATGGTAAGTTGTTCCTCCATCCTGTGTACTCGAGAACTTTAAACTCATACAGTGTAACTTATTTTATGCCTTATTATTGGGTAATGTGTGTGTATCATTTTGCTGTAAATATATAAATAAGAGCAGTGGAAATAAGTGTTACTAATATTGTATGTCTTATGCCGTATTTTAGGTAACGTAACATTGATATTTTTTCTCTTCATTATGATATGTTACTTTACCATGCTGAGAGGTGGTGTCTATACTAACAGCTGACCTAACCAACCAAAGAAACCTACCTAACTTGACCTAACCAACCAAAGAAACCTACCTAACTTTAACTAACCTGACCTAACCAACCAAAGAAACCTACCTAACTTTAACTAACCAAACCTAACCAACCATACTCCAGTAACAGTTAAAACGCAAGACAACTTTTGTAGAATCTCTTCAATATTTATCCGATGGGGTATAGGTCACACTACAGCTTGCTTAACTCCATGTCTCACGTTCGTCAGCGTGTTCTAGAAATCAAATAAATATCCATGATGAATGTAGTTTTAGCTTGTTGGAAGGGTATAACAAGTTAAAGTGCTTTGTAACTTAATACAGTGTATTCAAAGAAAAAATTAAAGTCTACTGTTTTTCTCAAGTGAAGTTTTAAAGTAAAACTTCGTATTTACAATTAAATCATTTATTACCGAAATATTTCATAATACTCGTACAAACAATACCCGAAGCTGACCGACGCCTGCCTCCCAAGGGGTGACAGCTGAAGCCACACGTTCCGAGGTAAAGAAGTGAAAGTACTACTGTCACTTGGTTATTTGGAGACAGAGGTTACCACGGTGTAGGAGCTCTTTTGTGCAACTGTAATAAAGAATTAGAAATGGTTCAGTAGAATATTGACAGTAAAGTAAATTTAAGTCGTAAATGTTTGATATTTGGGTAACGAATTTTTCTTTCCAGGTTGTGGAGGTGGAAAAAGAAGTGGAACCTCGTGCCTCATTTAGTTTCGTTGCTGACGTGTCGACAAAGTGTATGTGCTTCTGGACGCACCTGAATAGAAAAGTTAAACCTTTTCGCAAAATAAGTACAGTGTATTATGTTAGTTCTGAAAAATGTATTTGTTTTTAGGTCGTGTTGGAAAGTGCTGTAACCCGCTTGCCGAAAGGCTCGACTAACGGGGCAGTGTACTCGACTGTCTTCACTGAGCAAATTGAAGTATGGTAGCCATCCGCTGGTGGGGGAGAAGCTGATGTTGAAAATGGTTAAATGCTGTGAACATTGGCCTGCTGCACCACCTCTTTAAAAGTAATGTACACTCCCTACTGAAAGTATGTGCAAGGTGGGGGTTAGTTGGATGTCAAAATGAACACTCTACTCCCATTGTCTTGGGAGGGTTATTTTTTTTATTACAGTACGTCATATTGTCTTTGAAATAATTAAAAAAAATTTTTGTAGCTCGTAAAATTTAAAAGTTGGCGGTCAACTAGACGCATACAGTACAGGTCGGTTATCTCTTGTCCTAAATGCTTTGGCGGGGATGTGGCCAATTTTATGTATGGAATTCATTTCTCGTACATATTCTGGATGTACTGTAGCCTGCAATGTCTGCCGTGGGTTCGACATTGCCTGACTCTGGAGGGGTGTAAGAGCCCATGTTTTGCCTTATTCATTACATGCATACTTTGCCCAAAATGTGTTACCTTGTCGTGAATTATCAAATTGCATAGTAATAATAGTCTTATATGGTGTAAATTGTGATTGTTGTTTGCAGTCTTTGCCTATAATCCATTGTTATATAAGTCCAATACAGGATTTCTACAGCCTCCAGATCAAGAGAAAAGACAAAATTTTAATACTTGAATTTTGAGTCAAGTTTAGATGATTTTTTAACATGTATTGCAATTTTTCAAATGCCAAAAATAAGCTAAACATAGGACCTAAATCTGGCGACCAAGATATAATGGAATATTGCTGATAAAAACTGGATGATTAAAGAACATTGTGTATAATATTGTACTATGTATCCTTAATGCCAGTTGGTAATCTCTGTAAAAATGAGTAGTGCAAAGTAATAAAAATAAATGAAACATGGTTGTTTTTCTATAGTAATTTGGGACTTGCAGAAGGTATAAAGAAGCAGAATTGATAAAACGGTCAGTCTAACGTGTAACATTAATTTAATTGGTAGTACAAAGTAATTACTGTAGAATACGTTAAGAAATCGTAGGTTACAATAGAAGCGACTAAATTTTCGATTGCCCTAAATTTAAACGTGGAGGTCCCGATTACCCTAGAATGGGATAGGAGTGGGGACAAATGGATTTGTGACGTGGTAATTTTGGACAAGAGGCGCCCATCCTGTACTGGTGTTTAATATAGTTAGAATGTATTGAAAATGGCTTGATGTAATATTTGTTAGGGTTTCTTGTCTGTTACTTGTGGCACAAATGTTTTTTTGTATCGTTTGAAATAAGTTGATGAAATGTGATATAGTAGTTTTGTTAATGCATTATAATTTAAGAAGGAAGTGTTTGTTACTAATGGTCTTAAATATTGTACAGGATCTGCTGCAGTCCAGAAGACGTGATTGTTGTTGTTGGATAATGCACAGGGCCATTGAGTGAACGTGTTGGTAATAAGAGCCTGTAGAGGTGTGAGTATTGTTTATTGTACGGTATTGAGGAAGACGGATTACTTTGTTAGCTTTCACCAATACTGTTTAGTAATTTAACAGTAAAATATTTGTAATATTGATGATTTAATTTATTTTTTCAGGTTGGTGTCGGACTGTGGCAGAATTGTTGACCCTCGAGACGAGCATGTCGACACTTCATATGGTGATGTTAAATTTTGTAATATTTTTTTAAAGTGGAAGGTGTTATCAATAGTTTGTTTTTAGTGAATTTGAGAGTTGTAGGGAAAGTTTTTAGTTGATGAAATGTTTGTAACCACCCCGTGGTAACTAGTGTGGATATGGCCATACTATATGACCTGTAGCAGACCTTTCCACTAATCCCGTCGGTCATTACACTATCGGTAGTCCGTGATCGTGTCCATTAAGGGCTACCTGACTGGTGGCTGCACCTTGGTTACCCTGATTTAGAGCACCCCAAACTGTCTAGTTTATACTACAGATAGGCGAAAGGGAGACTTAATCGAGGTGTATGTCATCAGAAACGGCACTACTAGTGTCCATACCTGAAGGTGGCAGATGCAAGGGGTCTCGGCTGAAGGTTAAAAAAGGCCAAAGTCTAAAAGCATTACTGTGAGACTGCTGTTTTGACTCGCGGGGTGTAGAACATTTCCGCTACTGTAGGTGTAATTCAAAATTAAATAATTGGCTCATAGAAGAGTTGTTTGTGTTTAATTAGTTAATGATTGTAAATGAAATGAATTTTTGTAGGTTGTGGAGGTGAAAAACGGCCGGTATTTTTTGAGTTGGGGACTACTGATGGGTAGGTGTTGACTTCCTATTTGTTAGTTTATGAAATGGTTTAGAATTAATATTAGAGTTAAGTTTTGTCCCTCAGCTGTACAGTTTTGGTTTACCCTTAGTTGCCAATATATGAAGGGGAGGAAACTCTATCCAATTCATGGTGTGCCAGAGCCCGATCTCTGTGCCTCGTTTAGTCTTGTCGCTGACACGTCGGCGACAAAATGTACACACGTGTGGATGCAGCTTATTACAAAGTTTAAATGTTTACCGCCAAAAAGCCTGGTGTATTATATATTGTCTGAAATATTTTATATTTTTCAGGCTTGAGGATGGGTTGGAGATGTGGTGGTGGTGGTGTAACCCGCTTGGTGAAAGGCTCGACTACTACTTTTATGGGGCAGTGCACTTGACGGTCTTCATGAACCAAGTATGGTAGCCATCCTCTGGTGGGGGAGAAGAAGCAGATGTTTAAAATGGGCCAAGTGGTGTAACCTTTGGCGTGCTGGACCACCTCTTGGAAGGTGATGTAGACTCCCTACTGAGAGTATGTAAAAGGTGGGGGTCTGATGGATGTCAAAATGAACCATGACTCTCATTGTCTTGGGAAGTTTGTTAGTTTTTATTACAATATGTTATATTGTCTTTGAAATAATTTATATAAATATTTTTTGTGGCTCGTAAAAAATAAAAGTTGGCGGCCAACTAGAGGCCCACAGTACAGGTCGGTTATCTCTTGTCCTAAATGCTTTGTGATGTTGTTTGCTTTTGAACGCCGGAATATCCCTCGTGCTTATATAATGCGGTAGGTAACGTCTAGTGATCCTAGGTTACGGTAGAATTGACTAAATTTTCGATTGCCCTAAATTTAAACGTGGAGGTCCAGATTAGCCTAGAATGGGATATCGGTGGGGATAAATGGATTTGTGACGTGGTAATTTTGGACAAGAGGCGCCCATCCTGTACTGGTGTTTAATATAGTTGGAATTTAATGAAAATGTGTTTTTTTAATATTTGTTAGTGTTTGACGTGTTACTTGTGGCACAAGTGTATTTTTGTATTGTTTGAACCAAGTTGATGAAATGTGATATAGTAGTTTTGTTAATGTATTATAATTTAAGAAGGAATTGTTTGTTACTAATGGTCTTGTATATATTGTACAGGATCTGCTGCAGTCCAGAACACGTGATTGTTGTTGGATGATGCACAGGGCCATCGAGTGAACGTGTCGGTAATAAGAGTCGTTAGAGCTGTGAGTATTGTTTGTTGTACGGTATTGAGGAAGACGGATTACTTTGTTAGCTTTCACCAATACTGTCTAGTAATGTTAACAGTAAAATATTTGTAATATTGATTTAATATATTTTGTTCAGGTTGGTGTCTGGTGGTGGGTCATGGCAGAAATGTTTCCCCTAGAGACGAGCATGTCGACACTACATATGGTGTTGTTAAATTTTGTAAGACTGTATTTAAAGTGGAAGGTGTTACCAATTGTTTGTTTATAATGAATTTGAGAGTTGCAGAGGGCTGTGGAGTCGAAGACAAAACCTTCACCCCACTCTAAATTCTTTTTATGCTTCCGACCACCTCACTCCTTTGCCTATTTGTACCAACTATTTCACCATCCTAATTGTAATTTGTATGTTGCAACCTTAAGAAAAGTAAACACCGTATGGCACTGCTACAGCTTTATTAATGATCTGGACGATATTTAAGAACTACAAAAGATGATAGGTTTGACTTTCACAAAGTTTCAATCAAAAGAAAAATAAATTTATTAAGAATTTATATAATCTAGAAAACACCATTTACATGTATATCTAAAAAGTTCGATCTCAGCATATGAATTTGTTTAAGCTCAGTAATCTGATGTGGATCTAAAGATGATCCTACAATTCCTTTATGCAAAGTTATATATTTATGTGTACATTAAATGAATACCTTTATTAAGGGAAAATGGATAAACCTTTACATGATTGCTATTAAATGCAATTTGTCTTAATCTCACCAAAAACAGGATGTAGCTAATTGTTTTGTAGCTGAGAGCTCTGCTTTTCAACAAAACAAAATTTGATATAATCCAAAATTTCAAATGGTAAAAGAAGAGACTATCGCCCAAAAATTATAGTGCTATACTGTGCTCAAGCAAGCAATAAATTCATAATAATGCTTATAAAATGGAAATAAATTCTTTTTAATAATTTAAGAAAATTAGTGGATCAGTGGAATCACTGCAATGAATATGCCTGAGTTCATATATTTGTTTTAGGAACAGAATAGCTTCAGTCGGAGTCGAGTTCCGATTACCTTACTGACCACTCCACAAGTCGAATTTCCTCCTAATTCCTCGACTAATCTACAGCCCCGATAGGTACTGCTACTGAATGTGCTGCTTAAGGATCTGTTAACCAAAATTTGATATCTGATTATAACTTGTTCAAATGGCTTTTTAGAAAATGTTCAAATGATTTTTAGAATATTTTAATTACTTCTGCAATGCTAATTACCGCCAATTTATGGGTTTTCGAGGTCATTTTTGGTCCTGCATATTCTGATGTGTACTTAAATAGTTAGGCACATTAAATTTTAGTTCAGAGAGAAAACGTATTTTTGGCCAAAAATCCTTTTTAAGGCTATAGACTTCAATTTTCATTTCGGCCAAAAAACGGATTTTGTTCAAAAATTCCCCAGTATAGGTACTCCTGAATGTGCTGCCTTAAGGATCTGTTAACCAAAATTTGGATATCTTGATTATAACTGTTCAAATGTATTTTTAGAAAATGTTCAAATGATTTTTAGAATATTTTAATTACTTTTGCAATGCTAATTACCATAATTTATGGGTTTTCGAGGTCATTTTGGTGCTTGTGTATTATTCTGATGTACTAAATAGTTAGGCACATTAAATTTTAGTTCAGAGAGAAAACGTATTTTGGCCAAACTTTAAGGCTATAGACTTACAATTTTCGCTATCTTCGCCAAAAATGGATTTTGTCTAAAATTCTGTGTATAGGTACTCCTGGAATAAAGCTGCTTTTATGATCTGTTAACCAAAATTTGATATCTTGATTTATAAATTTGTTCAAATGGCTTTTAGAAAATGTTCAAAATGATTTTAGAATATTTTAATTATTTTTTGCAATGCTAATTACTTGCCACTCTATGGGTTTTCGAGGTCATTTCTTGGTGCTTGTGTATTATTCCTGATGTACTTAAAATAGTTAGGCACATTAAATTTAGTTCAGAGAGAAAACGTATTTTTGGCCAAAAATCCTTTAAGGCTATAGACTTACAATTTTCTATTTCGGCCAAAAATGGATTTTGTTCAAAATTTCATTATAGGTACTCCTGAATGTGCTGCTTAAGGATCTGTTAACCAAAAATTTCATATCTTGGATTATAACTTGTTCAAATGACTTTAGAAAAATGTTCAAAATGATTTTAGAATATTTGGAATTACTTTCTTTTATAATGCTAATTATCAGCCAAGAATTTGGCGGGTTTTTCGAGGTCATTTCTGGTGCTTGTGTATTATCTCTGGAAATTTAAATAGTTAGCACATTGAATTTTAGTTCAGAGAGAAACGTATTTTTGGCCAAAAATCCTTTAAGGCTATAGACTTACAATTTTCGCCATTTCGGCCAAAAATGGATTTTTGTCTAAAAATTTCAGTATAGGTACTCCTGAATGTGCTGCTTAAGGATCTGCTAACCAAAATTTGATATCTTGATTATAACTTGTTCAAATGGCTTTAGAAAATGTTCAAATTAGATTTTTAGAATATTTTAATTACTTTTTGTAATGCTAATTACTCGCCACTTATGGGTTTTCGGTATCATTTCCTGGTGCTTGTGTATTATTCTGATGTGCCTTTAAATAGTTAGGCACATTAAATTTTAGTTCAGGAGAGAAACGTATTTTTGGCCAAATATCCTTTTAAGGCTATAGACTTACAATTTTCATTATTTCGCCAAAATGGATTTTGTTCAAAATTCCCCAGTATAGGTACTCCTGAATGTAAGCAAGTTAAGGATCTGTTAACCAAAAATTTGATATCTTGATTATAACTTGTTCAAATGGCTTTTAGAAAATGTTCAAATGATTTTTAGAATATTTTAATTACTTTTGCAATGCTAATTACTCGCCACTATGGGTTTCGAGGTCACTTTCTTGGTGCTTGTGTATTATTCTGATGTACTTAAATAGTTAGGCACATTAAATTTTAGTTCAGAGAGAAAACGTATTTTGGCCAAAAACCTTTAAGGCTATAGACTTACAATTTTCGGCTACTTCGCCAAAAATGATTTTGTTCAAAATTTCTGTATAGGCAATTCTGAATGTGCTGCTTAAGGATCTGTTAACCAAAAATTTGATATCTTGATTATAACTTGTTCAAATGGCTTTTAGACAATGGCCCAAATGATTTTAGAATATTTTTAATTACTTTTGCAATGCTAATTACTCAGCCACTTATGGGTTTTCGAGGTCATTTCTTGGTGCTTGTGTATTATTCTGATGTACTTAAATAGTTAGGCACATTAAATTTTAGTTCAGAGAGAAAACGTATTTTGGCCAAAAACTTTAAGGCTATAGACTTACAATTTTCGTCATTTCGGCCAAAAATGGATTTTGTTCAAAATTTCAGTATAGGTACCTCAATGTGTTGCTTAAGGATCTGTTAACCAAAATTTGATATCTTGATTATAACTTGTCTGGGTGTATTTTAGAAAATGTTCAAAATGATTTTAGAATATTTTAATTACTTTTGCAATGCTAATTACTTGCCACTTATGGGTTTTCGAGGTCACTTGGTGCTTGTGTATCATTCTGATGTACTTAAATAAATAGCACAATAAATTTTAGTTCAGAGAGAAAACGTGAGCTTTTTGGCCAAAAAAACTTTTAAGGCTATAGACTTACAATTTTCGTCATTTCGGCCAAAAATGGATTCGTTCAAAATTTCAGTATAGGCAATTCTGAATGCTGTTTAAGGATCTGTTAACCAAAATTTGATATCTTGATTATAACTTGTTCAAATGGCTTTAGAAAATGTTCAAATGATTTTTTAGAATATTTTTAATTACTTTGCAATGCTAATACTCGCTAATTCTATGGGTTTTCATTTCTTTAAAAGCCAAAAATATTCTGGATGTATCTTTAAATAGTTAGGCACATTAAATTTAGTTCAGAGAGAAAACGTATTTTGGCCAAAAATCCTTTGCTGGGCTATAGACTTACAATTTTCTTCATTTCGGCCAAAAATGGATTTTGTCTAAAAATTTCAGTATAGGTACTCCTAAATGTGCTGCTTAGCTGGATCTGTTAACCAAAATTTTGATATCTTGATTATAACTTGTTCAAATGGCTTTTAGAAAATGTTCAAATGATTTTAGAATATTTTAATTACTTTTGCAATGCTAATTACTCTCGCCACTTATGCTTTTGAGTCATTTTGGTGCTTGTGTATTATTCTGATGTACTTAAATAGTTAGGCACATTAAATTTTAGTTCAGAGAGAACGTATTTTTGGCCAAAAATCCTTTTAAGGCTATAGACTTACAATTTTGGTTACTTTCGGCCAAAAATGGATTTTGTTCAAAATTTCAGTATAGGTAATTCTGAAATAAAGCTGCCAAGGATCTGTTAACCAAAATTTGATATCTTGATTATAACTTGTTCAAATGGCTTTTTAGAAAATGTTCAAAATGATTTTAGAATATTTTAATTACTTTTGCAATGCTAATTACTTGCCACTTATGGGTTTTCAGGTCATCATTTCTTGGTGCTTGTGTATTATTCCTGGATGTTCTTAAATATTAGGCACACAAATTTTAGTTCAGAGAGAAACCCAGTATTTTTGGCCAAAAATCCTTAAGGCTATAGACTTAGTACAATTTTCTTCATTTCTGGCCAAAAAATGCGACATCCTGTCTAAAATTTCATTATAGGTACTCCTGAAATGCTGCTTAAGGATCTGTTAACCGTAAATTTGATATCTGATTATAACTTGCCCAAATGACTTTTGTGAAAAATGTTCGTAAATGATTTTTAGAATATTTTAATTACTTTTGTAATGCTAAATACCGCCACTTATGGGTTTTCGAGTCATTTCTGCGCTTGTGTGTATTATTCCTGGATGTACCAAATAGTTAGTACATTAAATTTTAGCTCAGAGAGAAAATGTATTTTGGCCAAAAAATCCTTAAGGCTATAGACTTACACCTCTTTCGCTCATTTCGGCCAAAAGGATTCTGTTCAAAATTCTTAGGTACTCCTGAATGCTGCTTACGTCTTGCTAACCAAAAATTTGATATCTTGATTATAACTTGAACAAATGGCTTTAGAAAATGTTCAAATGATTTTTTAGAAGATTTAATTACTTTTGCAATGCTAATTACCTCGCCACTTATGGGTTTTCAGGTCATTTTGGTGCGCTTGCGTATTATTCTGGATGTACCAACAGTTAGGGGCACATTAAACAGTTCAGAGAATGCGTTTTGGCCAAATATCCTTTTAA